CCTATGATGAAGATATAGGGTCCTCCTGACTTCTATATCTTTTGTGTGTCTTTAATCCCTACATCCGGCTCGCTCCTCAGTCCTGCTGGGGAATTCTGGGAATTGAAGTCCACACATCTTAAAGTGGCCAAGGTTGAGAAACACTGGAATAGAACTGGGAGTGGAGGGTCCTTTGCAATCCTAACTTTTTCCAAACTTCTGCACCAACTACTGGGACATACAAAGCACCAAGGATTAATAGACCAGAAGTGGGCGTAGGAAATCTTTTATTCAGATAAAAACCTTACATAGTCATCAGCCACCCTAAGAAACAGGGAAGACAGGATCATTGGCATACAAGACAAGCTAAAATACTTAATTAGCCTTAGTACTTGAGGCTAGATTTAGGCTTAGTTCAGGTTTAGACTTAGTTTAGGGTCAGGTTGAAGTGTAGGACTAGGCTTAAGTTTAATCTTAGGCTTGGCTTAGGTTTATACTTAAGTTTAGGCTGAGGGTTAGACTTAGTTTAAGGTTAGGTGCCTAACTTTCGATAACCTCTTTGTAACATGCTCTGAGACTCACTTCAACGCGTCTCCCTTCTTCCCTGCAGAACTGGTGCATTAAACGGCGCTCACAGTCCATCTACTTGCAGGTGCTGACTGACAAACATGCTCCCGAACATTACAGGTGGGTACTAGTGGGGGCATCGAAGGTTCAGACTGGGGCAGAGATGGTCACTTCTCTGGGGATTATCCGCGGAGGATCTGCTGTCCCCAGTAACAGCACTGCAGGGCCCCTCCCAGCCTGTCTTCCCTCCCTGGAGCAATTCAAACAGGTTGGACTGTAGTCCCCAACAACAGACTGCAAACTCTCGGAGTTGAAGTCCACCCATTTTAAAGCTGCCGATGGCTGAGAAACCCTGGTTTAGCATTTTGTGGTTTCACTGTGCCTCCTCCTTGGGGGAAGCCACGGGAGCGGGCCAAAAACACTTGTTTGATGAGCCGAAGTCCCCAAATGCTTAAGCCTCTGAATCTGATGGGGAATTGGAAAAAGCACCCCATGCTCCTCCTGGTTTTGGGCTCCCGTAGACTGACACGGCGCTCCTCCTACAATATTAGTTTATCTCTGTAATCTTGGCTTTTCTCCTCTTGCTCAGTGGGGCCTTTCCTCTCCCCTCTGCAGGGTGCTGGGCAGCGTCTCCCAATTTGAGGAGTTTGGACGTGTCTTCCACTGTCCTAAGGACTCCCCCATGAACCCAACCCACAAGTGCTCCGTCTGGTGAAACGCCAACCTGTCCTGCCCCTGCCTGGAGCCAGCCCCTGCCAAGGCGCCAGCTGGCATCACTCTTGTCCAGGCCGGGCAGAGGGAGAGGAGAAAAGACCTCCGAAACCTGAGGTGGCCCTGGCTCCAGAGATATGCCCACACCTGCCAACCGCCCCCCCACCCCAGGTCTTTGGGGCTCCACGGTATAAATAGGTAACACCAGTCCTTCTCTTACACAGCTGCTGTGATCTCTTCCCATCTGTACAGTCACTCAGGTCATAAAAGGAGCCTCTTCGTTCTCCTTCTAAAATGACGTTTTTCTGCCATTCCTCTGGGCCATGCCCGAGCTTTTCCACTTTGCCCCCAGACCCAGACTTTTTCGCTCCTTGGCTATTCTAGTTTATTGTGCTAACGCAGCTTCAGTTCCAAAGCCAGTTGATGCATCCTGTAACATTTTCGCTTGTCCTCTCGGTGTTTTCATTTAAAAAAAAAAAAAATCAGATGGAACACACTGGCGTTTTATAAATAGCCCATTTTGCTGTGAAGCTTTTTCTTTTTAATTTTATTTTTTTAGCTGTACTCACTGCACGCTCTTGAATTATCTCCCTTGACAGCCAGGATGGTGCATTAGACTTTTATTCATGTATATTGTAGAACTGGAATTTCTGTGAGCAGTTTATGGTCACCGTGTCCCTCAAATCAATGTCCCTGAGCAGAGCAGTGATTCACCCCCCTCTCCCCCCCGCATCCCCACCAGTTGGCCATTTCTGCCACCTGTGCCCAAGAAACTGGATTTGTAGTTCTGGAGAGAGTACGTTGAACAGAGAAGCACAAATTGTCCTATCGCTCAAACAAGGCCTGGTTTAACCACACAAGCACACTTTCTCTGGGGGGTTCCTTGCTCAGAACGCGACTCGTTTGCTTCCCCACCATCACGGGCTGGTGCCAGCCTGTCTGATCAGCTCTGGCCACGTAACTCTGACAGACGCATCCAGAGCGAGCCCCAAGCATAGTCCGCAGTTCAGCACCATCTCTTCTTTCTGCAAAGCCATCATAGCCTGGGCCACAGGCTCTTTCTAGATCGCCCAGATTTCTTTTCTCCTCATACGTGGGCTTTGCCTGCAAAGAAGGGGATGCCCCACGTTTTAGATTTTTGGGGGGGGGGTTGGTGGAGGGAGAAGAGTTGATTTTTCCCAGGGACTGTGGGCTTACTCTGCCTTACACAACCTTTGCACCCTGTTCAGTCACTAGTGAGATGCGTGTTTTTGGTCGGGCAGCAAACGTGACATTCCCCTAGAACAGTGTTGTCCAAACTTGGCCACTTTAAGATGAGTGGACTTCAACTCCCAGAATTCCCCAGCCAGCCA